CACACACACACACACACACACACACACACACACACACACACACACACCTTCCACCCCCTCCCCATCCCAACTGATTCTTTAACTTTTGGAGCTTGCTCTTGAATCAAGAATCATAGAAAATCCTTTCTTACTTCCCTCACCAAGCACTTCCTGTGTTTTGCATGGGATTGTCTCACTTAATCCTTACAACAGTGCTAGGAGATATGTACTGTCATTGTCCCTATTTTCAGATAAGGAAACAGCTGAGAGATAGGAAGTAAGTGGCTGATGGTCAAACATGTAGTTGGGTTCAGGACTCAGAGTTGTGCACCAACACCCTTCACTTTGTAGGGCCCAAGAGGGACCTTGAAGGGTGATGGTCAAAGTGAAAAAGAGGAAACTGTGTCCAGTGAAATAAGCCAGTCACAAAAAGACAAATAATGCATTATTCCAGTTTTATGAGGTACCTGGGGTAGTAAGACTCCTAGAAACATAGAATGGTGGAGGTGGGCTGGAGAGAGGAGCAGGCAGCAGTTTAATGGGGACAGAGGTTCAGTTTTGCGAGAAGAAAAGAGGGCTGGAGGTTAGTCGCACAACATTGGGGATTATTTAACATTACTGAACTGTACACTCAAAAATGGTTAAGATGATCAATTTTGCGTTGTGCATAACACAATTATTTTTATTACACGGTAAGTCGGTGGTGGGATGTGTGCAAATAATGAGGCCCATCCAGATGTTCACAGTTGTCCTCCCTGGACGGTGGGGAGATTTACTATAATCTTTCACTGTTAGATTACATGTGTAGTGTCATCTTCCTGCTTTCCACTCAAGTGCAGACTCCTTGAAAGTGTTCATTGCTGAGGCTGCAGTGCCTAACATGGAGTAGACATTCACTAGAAAGTATTAAAGCAGTGAATAAATGCGGTGGGGGAGGGGAAACTCTTTCCAACTTGAGGAAAAGCCTTTGGGACGTCAGAGGGAGGAGAAGGCTCATTGGACATTCGGAGGAAGGGGGTGGTTCTTGGAGCAGATTTTGCAGCAGTACTGAGTTGACATAGGCAGCACGTGGCTCCCATAATCTTCATAACTGGCCTGTCTAGACCATCCCAAATGAACATGTGGGCCAAGTACAGTGTGCCCGGGCTTGCTCTGCAAAATGCACTTCAAGACAAGGCTTGTGCGTGCCAACGCCATCTTTCCCTTTATGTGAAAGTTCTGGGCGTCATCTCGACCCCTCCCTCTCTTCTATAACCCACCTCTCATCTGTCCATCAGCACATCCTCTTGGCTTTATCTTTTAAAGGTACCCAGACTTCAGGAGCTTCTCTTTGGCTACCACCCTGGTCTAAACCACTGTTGACAGGCACCCGGCTCATCACAGTGGTCTCCTAATTATCTCCCCGAGTTGGCCCCTCCTTCAGTCTGCTCCCCACCAAATGGCCCTGAGAGATCCTGTTAAAATGCAAGTCATGTCACTTCTCTTCTCAGCCCCTCTGTGATTTCTCATCTCAGGGTAAAAATTAAAGGCATTACAGTGGCCTATAAGATCTTACCCACCCCATTCCATCCCTCTTCCGTTACTTCTACTGACATTAACTGCATCTCTAGTGTGACCATGTAATTTATCATCCAAACCAGGACAATTTTGATAATGAAAAGAGGCACTACTGGTAATTATCACAGGGCAATGAACACACACCAGCACAGTCCTGGGCAAACCAGACATATATCCGCTCTACTCATCTCCCCTCTCCTTTGTGCATGCTAAGCCAGCCACATGGCCTTTTTACCAGCCCCAAAATGCCCAGGCATTTGGGGGTCTCCCTCAGGACCTTTGTACTTACTGTTCCCTCTGCTTTAAGTTTCTTACCCAAGACATACAGGAGACATGCTCCCTCATCCCATTCAGCCCTTTACCAGCTGTCACTTTCTCAGTGAGGCTTTCTCTGACCACCCCATCTAGGATTGCAACCCCCCCAAGCCAGCACTTCCCATTCCCCTTTATTCCTTTATTTTTCCCTATAGTACTTACTACCAACTAACATAACTTAGCATATTTGTTTATTGTCTGTCTCCTCACTAGATGTAGTTCCATAAGGGTAGAGGTTCTAATAAGTTTCTCCCCTAATATATTCCCAGTAGGGAGAACAGTGCCTAGTATACCTTAGGTGCTCAATAGATAGTTGTTGAATAAATGATTTTTTTTTAAAAAGTTTACTTTTAGTCCCTTCCAAGTAGGTGCAGAACATATGCCCTTCTTGTACAAGAATTCTGGGCAGGTAGCACCTGAACTGGGCTTAAAAGCCACCCAGGGAAGGTGGTGGTTGATCAGTCTCGGTTGGGCCACACCTGCATCCTGGGATTCTGTAGCACCTTATTGGCCGGGCAGCCTTCATTGTGAGGTAGCTCTGGCTTCCTCCTCAGAGGTAGACAAGCACTGAACCTGGCCCCACGTCCAGGCACCAGGACCTGCAGTCCAATGGTGACTTCCTCCTCCCAGTCACACTGTTCACTGTGCCCTATAGCACTTAGGGCTGACCTAGGTGAGTCCTGGCCTGTGGCCGACCAATTCTGAGGGGCACTGAGGGTCATGCTGAGATGAGACTCTCCTAAGTCCCCCAAAAGCCACGTGAGGCACAGTCAACATCAGCTTCCTCTGCCACCAGTGCTTCACTGATTCACACATTTGGGCTTCACTCTGGGTCGGGCACCCTCGGGAAACAGGAACCAGCATCTTGGGCCTGCAGCCCTAGTTTCTCTGGAGAAAAACCCATGGGAGGCTGGTTCAAGGCTGTTATAGGCCTTCACCCTGAGTTGGCACCACCTACCCACCATGTTGAAGACGTCACTGCTTGGGAAGGACTTCACCAGTGAGCCCAGCTCCTTGGACGACAGGTCCAAGTCATTCTCGGAGAGTAGGGGCAGCTTAGCTTCAGAGAACGTCCATCCTGCTGAGGAAGCCAGTGGATTATCGTAAGTGGCCGCACTGCCCTTCCCGACCTGAGGCCAAGCGCCGCTGCCTTCACAGCTCCGGGCCACATCAACCTACTACTTTCTTCCTAACCCCCATAGCCCCACTGAACAGGAGATGCGTGGAGGAGAGATGAAAGCCAAATCTAAGAAGGTTGATTCGTGTGGCTCTGGGTATTATTACACTTGTCTCCCAGTTTTTGCAGAGAACCCAAAGACAGTAGCCATCCCAACGTGAACTTGGTTCTAGGAATGATTTTTATCGTAGGCCGGCTCTGTGCTTGTCCACGGTTTGAGGTGGCTTTCCTCTTTCTGCATCTGCTACTATTCATTCTCTCTCCTTCCTTCCCTCCCTCCGTCCTACAAACCCACCCAGGAAACACCACCTCCTAGCCCCGTTTCCCTACTTTTACTGCCGTAAACTCAGACACATGGAACTTTTTCTTAGAACTTTATTGCCAAATAGACTATTATCCCGGAATCAGATGAAATAATAGCCTTGGGCGTAATGAGATTGTGAATGACAATAGCCAGGGTCAATAAGGAGGTCAGGAAATGCCGTTACTCGTGTCCTTCTAGGAAGAATTAAACTTGTCCCTTTCCAAACGGCAATGTTGTAATGTATGTCAAATCCTAACACCTATTTATATAGAACATGCAAATACTTCCTTGGCATAGGCTTCCTTTGAAAGTACACACATACACAAACACAGAGCTTGGGGGTGAGAAAATTGGGAGACCGAGAGGTAGAGAGATTTATATTCACTAATAAGGTTTTTTGGTTCTGGTTTTTATTTTACTTTTTAAATTTCATACTGTGTGTTACTTAGGTATTTTTTAAATACAGATGTAAATATATCCTTTGATCAATAAATACCACTTCTAGGAATTTTTCCTAATGAGACAATAACACAGGTACGCATGATAATTTTATTGAAGCGCCGGTTATAATATTGACAATTTGGAAACAATAAGACATTATTTAAATAAAGTATGGTACACATGTACAGTAGGATGCAATAAGGCCATTACAAGTGATGAAGGAAATCTGTGGAAAATGGGTAGGACATACTATTCATAAAGAAAATTAATTTAGGATACAGTATTATAATGGTCCTGCATGTTTAAAAGTGTGTGCCTTCAAAAACAAACAGAAATGCCCAGAGGAATGCTAGTCAAAATGCTAACAGTGGTTATTTCCAATTAGTGGAATTTTGGTATTTTGTTTTACAATGGCCATGTATCATTTCTCAAAGAAGAATAATTTTTTTTTTTTTTAATCCCAACATGTGTTTTACTCTCCAAGGCCCTGATCTATAATGCTGTTAGCTAGGGCATCTGGTTTCCCCAAAAGTTGATCTCACCTTTTCCAAGAGATGTGATTCAACTTGGATAAGATGGTGCTGTAGGCCAGAAGTAAGGATGGAAGGACAGAGGGCAGGAAGCGGGGAGAAGAGCACATCTGTTGGAGAAATTGCTACTAAGAAATGACAAAACATGAAAAGTAGTGTTTTGTTTTGTTTTTTTGCTTTGACATGTTTTCCAATAATTACAGTTTTCAAGAAATAAAAGTCATAAAAATGTCCTCTTGGAAGTGAAGGGACAATAGGTGCCCCCCCCACCATCCTCAGGTGAATAGACCAAATTAATGAAGAAGAAAGAAGTCAGGGGGGTCCCAAGGCCTACCCTGTTCTTTCAGCCCCAACCCTCTCCCAGGTCAGTATTGAATTGTAAAATTGGACGCAGCCCTAACTCCCTAACCGATGGGACAAAGACCTGGAGACATGAGCACAGTCTCTAAGGGACTCGCTCTGTGACCGAGGCAGGCTGCCTCTAGACAGTCCTAAGACTGCACAAGGAGGTACCTGCAATGGCCTCCTCAAGGTGCCTTTTATTCCAAGAGGAGGGGACACCTCTACCTGCTTAAGCAGCCCTTACTTGCCTTTTTTTTCTATCAGCCCAGCTCGGCTTCCCCTTCATGGGGGCCCTTCTAGCAGGTGAGCCCCATAAGCTCAGACCAAAGGTGGTAGTGATGCTGATGATGAAGAGGATGGTGATGATGGTGGCTATGGTCACATCTTAGAAGCACGTCATGATTCCAAGATTCGTCATGTCAATACCCCTTGTGATTCTTACCACTTCCCTGGAAGTAAAGGCAAGAATTATTCCCTTTTTCTCTCTCTTTCCTGGCAGATGAAGAAACAGAAGATGTAAGCAGCTGAGGGTCTTTCCAAAGTAGTGACCAAACTTCATAGCTTAATGGCAGAGCTAGAACTCAGAACTCAGTGCTCCTTACCTCTGAGTTTATTGCTCTTGCACTCAGCTTTTCATTTCAGTTCCTTCTTGCTTCTCTTCTCATGAGCCTGTCCCACCTTCCCAATGGATGAGTAGTGCCTGGGCAGAAGCTGCCAGCACAGGCATGGAGAGTGTTTAGAACCCTGGTACCCAGCACGCAGCCGGGCACGTAGTAAGCATTCCTTATGCACAGTAACAATTGTTATTAAATTGTACCCAATGCAGAGCATGGAATAATGCAAGGAATGTTGGTTGAGTAAATGGATGGAGTGAACTTAAAATACTCTGTATGTCAGGAGAAGTTATGTTTTTTCTAGTGAGTGAAATTAACAAGTGACCTGGCATCAATAATTACTCTAGAAATTGAGAAAATTACTATCAGGTTTTTCTCATTGTTCATCTAAACGCCAAGCAGCTAGTAGGTCTCAATAAATATTATGTGAGTGAATAAGTTGTGAAAGAGATCACTGGATGAATCAATGCATAAACTGCTTCTAGGGAGTTACCCAGAATGGTAGCAATTGTGAATCTTTTCATTAGAGCCTATTGTGTATTAAATATTTGTTGGGTCACCTAAACTAGCACCAGCCCTGGATCAGATATTCCAGGGTCCGTTTCATCAGGCTTTGTCCCTCTTCCGAGCAGAGGGTGCTGGAGATGCTGGAAGGAACCTGAGCTTTGGGTCACCTTTCCCATCCACTAACATACCCTCTTGTCTCCCTACTCTCCTCCTACAGGATCATGCAAACGTTGATCCATTTATTGAAATGCAACATTGGCACAGGGCTCCTGGGGCTTCCCCTGGCCATGAAAAATGCCGGCTTATTGGTAAGAGGGACCTGTGCAATGGAAACTAGGTTTACCCGTTTCGGGGAAAAAGGGAAAAAGGTAGTAGGCCCCTAAGGCCTCTGCACTGTTCATCAATGGGCGATTTGGGGGTACCCTCTCCAATAGGAAATGTGCCTCTTGGCATCAATCCCCTGGAGCTAGCCTGGAGCCAAATGGAGTGTTTCTAGAGGAGACAGGCCATTACTCTCCCCCCCCCCCAGTTTTATTGAGATATAAATGACATACAGTACTTTAAGTTGTACCACACTTTTATATTGAGATATAAATGACATACATGAGCTTAAGGTGTACCACATAATGACTTGGTATACACATATTGCAAAATGATTACCACAATAAGTTTGGTTAACATCTGTATCTTCATATATACACATATATAATTTGTCATATACTTTGCAACTTTCAGGCATACCATACAGCAATGTTAACTATGGTCATCACGTTGTACCTGTTTATCCATAACTGGAATTTTGTACCTCTTGACCCCCTTCATCCAATTCCCCCACCCCACCACTGTTCTTAAAGACCCACCATACTCACATACTGATGCGCAATCCACTTTGCCACTGTCCTCCCCACTCCCTAGAACTGTCCCCAGCCCATTTCACTCACTTACCTTAGCAGCCTGGCCTCTGCAGACAGGTGAGTGCTGGCTCTTGTTTCAAACCCTGAGGTTGACTGAGAAAGTGTCTGGAAAGAGGAGGATAGTGAAGGCCTCGCCAGTCCCCTGACACCCTGCATCATCCCACCTCTGTCTCTTGGCTTCGGCTCTTTCTTCTCCCTTGTTTCTGTCTTTTGAAATATGCCTCCTCTGTGAAACTTTACTGTTTCCTACTAAAATTACTGCCACCTTCCCCTTGTGTTTTTCTAGAACTTATATCTACTGCACCCGGAATTCTTAAAAAGATGAGACATAATTTTTTAGAATACCTACCTTCCTCACTTACCTGAAAGCCCTGAGGGCAGGAACTCTCTGATGTATTTTTACACCTCCTCACAATACCTGCTGTAGACCGACACACAGGAAGTCCCAATTCATGTCTGTTGAATTGAATTCATGCCAAATATATGACTTCCATTTAGATGATGCTAATTTCTCCTTTCCAGGCCTCGTAAGTGGCCCGCATGTCAAAAGAAGGCATATCAAGACTCTGGCTTCTTCTGACGTGACTTGTAATCTGTAGCAGTTCCGACCCACAGATGAGACTCTCCGCCTTTGAAATCCTCAGAGTTCTAGAACCTCTGAAGAGTATTATTACCACATGGCCCTCAGCCATGTGATATTTGCTGTTGAAGATAGCTCTGTTATCCTCTGATTTTTGCTTCCTAAGACTCATTCGGTGATTTCCCTGCCCTCCATCTCCCACCAGAACTTCTGACCATGACTCATTTGAGAAATACATACTGAGCACCTACTATGTGCATTCTTAGGCCCTGAGAATGTAGAAATAAGCGAGATCAAAAGAAGTCTCTGTTATATGGAGGCTATGTTCTAGTGAAATCTAGTGGTGCTCTTGACCTCTCATGTGTTACTTTGTGATAATGTTACATCAGGTCACATCTACAAAGGCACAGGTGTCCAGCACAGAGGAGGTGAGGGAGTCCCTCTTTACTCTATGCCCCTGTAATATCTGAGAGATTAGGATTAATAATGAGTTGTGTTTTTTAATCTCATCACACAAAAGGATGGAAACTATGTGAGGATAAGATAGTTTTATTAGCCTGACTGCAGTATAAGTATTTCACTATGTATCTGTATGTCAAATTGTCATGTTGTACACCTTAAATATATACAATCTTTAAAAAATAATAGGGTTAGGGCGCCTGGGTGGCTCAGTTGGTTAAGCGACTGCCTTCGGCTCAGGTCATGATCCTGGAGTCCCGGGATCGAGTCCCGCATCGGGCTCCCTGCTCAGCAGGGAGTCTGCTTCTCCCTCTGACCCTCTCCCCCTCATGCTCTCTCTCTCTCTCATTCTCTCTCTCAAATAAATAAATACAAAATCTTAAAAAAAATAATAATAGGATTAATGACAAATTAGACATACTAGAGCAATGATACTCAACTGGGGACAATTTTGCACACACACCTCCCAAGACATTTACAGTGTCTAGAGGCATTCTCAGCTGTCACAACTCATGGGGAGAGGGAGTGCCGCTGAGGAATATGCTAAACATCCTACAATGCACAAGAGGGCCTCCACAACAAAGAATCATCTGGTCCAAAATTTCACTAATGCCCCTGTTGGCAACTCTATGCTAGAGGAAGAGAACCAAGTCCTAAGAGAAACCTTGGTCTTCAAGTATCTTGGAGGAGGTGAAGGCCAGGGTGTGAAGAAGGAAAGAGGGATCTAGAAGGCAGAACCCAGGACAGATGAGGAAAGACGTGGGCTATCTGTGGAGGTAGTGGGAAGAAGGGCATTCCAACTAGACTGTCTAGGGACCCAGGGATATTCAGGCAAGGACCTCCATCCCAGAGGCAGCTTTATGATGAGAGGGGCCCTAGCACCCAGACTGGGAGAGCGCCAGTTATGGGAATAATCAGTGTATGGCTCACTGTCCCCACTCTCTTTCCCCTCCAGGTGGGTCCTATCAGCCTGCTGGCCATTGGGATCCTCACTGTGCACTGCATGGTCATCCTGTTGAACTGCGCCCATCACCTCAGTCGGAGGTGAGAATCCTGCCTCTCTCTCTCCCCCCAGTGCCAGGCCCCATCTGTGCTGAGTTTCCTTTGGCCACTGACCCGATTAACCAACCACTTCTCCAGCTACCTCACCTACTGCTCTAGATTCTATGGAGGTGGTGGAGAGGATGATACAATCGCAACTGGAAACTCCTAGGTCCCGGCCCAACTCTGCTAACCTGCTGGATGACTTTGTCAAGTTCCTGCACCCTCTGACCCTAAATATCTGTACCTGGAAAGATCAAAAGTGATAAAAGATGCAAGCATGCTTTATAAACTGCCATGAGTATGCGAGAGACTTAGGATGTCCTTCTTTCCCCTTATCTCCCTACACCCACCCTCCCCCTAACTCCAAGACACGCACCTTGTTAGAGTAATTTGTGCCAGGTAGACCCTCTCTGGGACAATTTAGTAAAAGCAAACAAAGATATAGTTGAAATGAATAATTCACAATGGCTCCAGTCATTAATAAAGCATACATATAATACTCAATGTTTCCATATTTGAAACTCCAGCACAAAGAAAAAGAAAATTCCCAAAAGGGAAGACAAATGCAATGAAGACAAACAATGCTGAGAGTTTCATATTTACAAACCAACAATTTGTGTATGATTAGTAATTCCTTACAGCCAACTGCCTGGTGGCTCTCTATCTGCGACACTTAGCTGCTCCCAAGGCACGCAAATCAAAAGGGGTCCTTGTAGATATACAGAGACTCCTCATAGGTCAAAGTAGAGATAGTAACTGAAACTCCTCATAAAGCCAAATTATCAAACCCAAACTGGTGTGTCTGGAGTATACATCAGTCACACCTAACTTGTAGGGCACTTTCCAGCTCACAAAACACTTTTAAGAGCATTTACTTATTCAACAATTAAATTTATTGCACATTACATGTGCAAGGTACCTGGCCAGAGCTTTACAAGTCTTCTTTTATTTACTCCTTACAGTAAACTTTTATGGCAGGCACTATCATTATCCCCATCTTACACATGAGTAAACTGAGACCTAGGTGAATTAAATGCCTTGCTCAGGGTCACACAGCTAGGAAGTGGCAGAGCTGGTATTCAAAGGCCTGTGGGACCCACTCCAACCATTCTGCAAATCTTCTCTCCCTTCACACCTGCTGGGACAATTATATCACCTTGTAGGTTTCTGATGCCTAAGCCATTCCTGATAAGCCTTTTCCTGATTTTTTTTTAAAGATTTTATTTATTCTGGGACGCCTGGGTGGCTCAGTTGGTTGGGTGACTGCCTTCGGCTCAGGTCATGATCTTGGAGTCCCAGACCCTACCCCCGCTCGTGCACTCTCTCTCTCTCACTCTCTCTCAAATAAATAAATAAAATCTTTTAAAAAATAAATAAAAAAATAAAGATTTTATTTATGAGAGGGAGGGAGAGAGCATGAGGGGTTGGAGGGGGAGAGGGAGAAGCAGACTCCCCACTGAGCAGGGAGCCCGATGCGGGGCTCGATCCCAGGACCCCGCGATCATGAACTGAGCCAAAGGCAGACGCTTAACCAACTGAGCCACCCAGGCGCCCCCTGATTTTTTTTTTGACTCTTTTTTTTTCATTTTTTTTCTAATATAAAGGTTACAGACTGATGGCCTAAGAGCTTTGCAGTTTTTGTTTCGTTTGTTTTAGCCTATGTTTACAAACCTGGAGATTTCCCATTAGGGAAAAAAATCAAACTCCACCTTCTCCTTGCCAGTTAGACAGTCTGGCACCTCTGGGGTCTCATTCCTTCATTGCTCAGGGGGAACCGAATCCCGGTCGATCCCTCTTAGAACAGAATGTGTACCAGGGGCTTGCCATGGTCTCTACTCTTCCTCCTTCTGTGGTACACCAGCCCTCTCCCCATATCACTGATACCTGACTGGCCCCATAGCTTTTGGATTTGTAACCCTCAGACTAATAAATTTGCCACTCCTATGCAACATGACCTCATTTATATGGGAGTGCCAAGCCCAGTGAACAATAATAAAAATAGAAGGATTAGGCCCTGTTTCCAGTGGCATCTCCACATTCTTCGGTCACTGGCTCCTCCCTCAAACCCAGACTGTGTGTGAAAAACACTGAGGCTCAGAAGTCTAAAGAGATTTGCTCAAGGTTTCTCAGTCATCTGAGAGGGGAGGGCGTGTTGGGATTTAAACCCAAGACCCAAGTCTGGGTGTCCTTCCCTCTCCCAGCTACTCCCCTCAGTCACGCAGTTAGCAGCGGGGATCCGTCCCTCGACCACCCACTGCTGCTCCCACCGCCCGCAGATGGTTCCTCAGTAGGGCCTTCCCTGCCCTTAGGAAGGGCCATCTAGGGCAGAGGGACAAGACAGACAGCAGCTTGGGTGTCACATCCTACAGGGGTGCTGGGCAGAAGCCTAAGTACCACGTTTGCATGGGACCTTGTCTGAGGCAGGCCTCTCGAATGTTCCAATGCCCTCCGCAGTGGGAGGGAGGGAATAAAGTCCAGAAAAGACCATCGCTGGCTTGGCCATACCCACACCCCCTCTTCTACTTCCTCCCCTGACTTGGTTTGCACACCTCACAACTTTCATGACCCCTCTTTCCTCGTTTGTAGACTTAAGTCAATGCAAAGCTACTGTTTCCTTAAAAATCTTTTTTCACTTAAATATTAGTGTTCAAGAAGACAACTACAAAAAAGAAAAAAAGGCAGTCCTCCTGAAAGTTGTGAAAGTGTATCATAAAATATCTTGTTAATACCGTTGCTGGAAAAATTCCAGAACATTCCATGCTAACACACAAATATATATATAATAATTACTCACCTTGAGAGTAAAGTATACCTTTAACAAAAATGCTTTAAGTTATACATTGCTTGCCCTTCCCCTAGATTGCAAAAGACTTTTGTGAACTACGGAGAGGCCATGATGTACAGCCTGGAAACCTGCCCAAACGCCTGGCTGAGGACCCACTCAGTGTGGGGCAGGTAGTACTCATAGATGTTGTAGCAGTAGTGGTGGGAGTGAGTAGTAAGAACAATAATAATCTTCACCTGATCTTCCTTTGTCCCGAGTTACACAGGGTTAAGTGAATATGTTGTTACTACAAACCATCGAACAATCCTCTCCATCCCCATCCCACTCCTCATCCGATAAGCAACCACTGATACCTAATTAGTAAATATTCTTCTAGACTTTGTCTCTGCACGTACATGAATATATGTGTGTGAGTGGAAATACGGATTTCATTTTGCATTTTCTTGTACACTAATTAGAATTTTGTTTTTGAAATTTGCTCTTTCATCTAGCAATATGTCTCTAATTTCTTTCCACACTGGGACGTAGAGATCTACCTATTTTTTTTTTGTCATTTAGTAAAAATATGGGATTTATTAGTCAACCCACAGTCACAATACAATCACTATAGATTTCCCCTTCTGTATTCATCCCACCAAACGCAAAACAGAGCAGTGTGTCAGTCTGACTTTCTTCATGAGAGTCACCACCTTGAGTCACTCCTTTGTCAGTGGAAGCCCCTTTTTTAGTATCACAGTTCAGAGTGACCGAATTTGAATCTCCTTTCTCAGAAGTACATATCACTGACTATGGAATGACACACATAGGATGATTGGAACATCCAGGTGGTAAAAAATTTTCAAATTTAAGCAAGATCCATCCAATGGGTGCTTTTCTATGTGATAGTGGTACATGGTATCCAGTGCTTCTGGGGGGGAGTCACCCCTCCAAAGATATACAGGTGTTTCCCCACAACCTCAGCTGAGTGCGCAGCACAGTCTATGGGAGGTGCCCCGGTGGGACTTAGCTTCTGCCACTTCATGTCATTTTTATCAGTGCAATGGACATTATCATAGAATTTGTCCCCTGCCAAGCCTCCATGGATCAAGAGCTTTGTCCCCTGCTGACGCCATCACATGACCATGCCAGAGGGATGGAGGTTTTTCAAGTGTGTCTGTCTGTGACCAGGTCAGAGAGTCTGTGTCAAACACATGCAGCTTCACCCCCTGGATGGGCTGGGCACCTCTCTCTCCACCCACAAAGACATACAACTGGTTTCTAATGGCTGCAGATGTTGTGTGGAATGTTCTTAGGGGTGGTGGGGGGTGCTTACCTCTGGCATGGTCCAAAGTCCTAGTTTCAGGATTCAGAACTTGTAGGCAATTTCAGTCTCCTGACTAGTCAACACCTCTAAACACCCAGGTGCTATGAGGTGCATAAGAGGAAATGGAGCTGGCATGCTTGTAATGGGGTAAGAGGCCCTCCAGGGTGGCTTAATCCCACTGGTGTGTTCCTGGACCTGTGGTGTGCACATCTGAGAAGCTCTTGCTTGGATCTGCCCCCACAGCAATGAAGACCTTCCCTCTCTTGGCATCACCAACTGGGGGTGAATATGAGCAACCGTGGGCCAACCCGAGCACAGGAGCTATCTCAGGGGCGGGGGTGGGGGGGGGGTATGGTCAAGGCATACCATGTCGCTTTCTTGGGCTTGTATCCAGGCTCCAAGACTGGCAGCAGCTTCATGGTGTCCTGTGGCAGCTTAGGATGGTCCTGGGCCTACCTGGTTGTTTTTTAAGTCTCACGATGTTCCTCAGTGGGGACATGTGCCATAGTTTCATGTAAGCCTTCCCCTAATGGTGAGCATTCAGGCTGCTCCCTTGCTTGATAAAAAGTGCCTGGTATACAAGATGCTTTTCTGTGTCTTAGCTCCTCTGATCATCTCCTTGACTTTGTAGATATGCAGGGAGGGTCTTTATTGTCCTGGAAATATGAGATGACCAAGGCTCATAAGGGAAAAAAATAACATGTCCACAAAGAGCTAGAGATAGCGGTTACACGAAATTCGACCCAAACCTAACATTTCAGCCTTTCCCAGCAGAGCCCTTCAGGAGGTAGTGAGTCAGTATTGTGGCTGCCAAGATCCCTTCTGCAGCTCCTCTCTTGGGACTCTCAGTAGGTCATCGCTCTCTTGATCAGGAGACACTCTGATTATCAGACAGGTGAGGTCATGGGGCAGTAATAATGAATGACTTACAAATGCTCATCCTTTCTCACCGAGGTTTGTTTCTGATGACTCCTGAATAAAACTTGTGGGTAAGAAGGGTCCTTAGAGACCACCGTATCCATGCCTAGTCAATGGAGAAATATAAAGCCCAGATAGGGCAATAAAGCTGCCCAACGTTACACAGGAATTGAGTGGTAGAGCAAGAACTAGAATCCTGAACATCTAGTTCCCACCCATTACACTGTACCATTTCTTGAGAGGCCCAGTAACTGAAAAAGATTTGGGAACATATTTTAAACAATGATTTGTACTTTTTAGTATGCTAAGGGATACCTGGGAGCTTGATGCAGGCAACAATCATCAATGGATGCTCAAGCTTCTAGGTGAAAGGTCATTGGGAAACTTTATAAAGGAAGACAACACTGACACCATCTGACCCCAGGTATTAATCATAGCATCTCATGTCTAGACATGGGATAGCCAGACACAATGTGTCTTATAATGGGATACACTAGGGAGTACAGAGTATCACCCCCGAAATATCCTTGCCAGAGAGATAAATAAAGAACCTCAATGTAGTCAAGTTGCTAGATCTAGTATCAGTTTAGAGGAAAGACGGGGGGGGGGGGGGGATAGAGAAACACATTAACTGACATTATGAGGAAGTCATCAACCAAATCTAGGAAGTGGGACATACTATAGGATAAATTATCTGGTATCTTCAACACCCCCTAAAAAGTTAAAAGTTGCAAGGGAAAAAAAAGAAAGCAGAGCAAGGGGAATGTAGCAGTTTTAAAAACTTAAGAGATGTAATAGAAATAACAAAATGCAATGTATAGACTTGTTTAGAAACTAGCAGTAAAATAGATATTTTTAAGACAATTAGAGAAATCTGAATATGGACTATTATTAAATGATATAAAGAAATTATTACTAATTTTGCAAGAGATGATAATGGCATGTTGGATATATTTATATATATATATATATATATATATATATATATATATATATACATATAGTAAGTCCTTATCCAATAGAGTTGCGTATGGAATTATTTACAGATGAAGTGCCTCAAATTCTCTAGTTTGCTACAAATACTCCAACAAATAACCATATGTGTGGTAGGGGTAAAGGCATAGATAGAAGAGGACTGGCAAAAAGTTAATGATTGTTGAAGCTGCGATTGGCAGATGAGGAGTCAAGGATTATTGTCATTGCTTTTGTATATGTTTGAAAATTTCCATAATAAAGAGAGAAACCATCTCTGTTCTGGTCTCACATGATACCAAGCTTCTGATTTAATAGGCTGACACGAGAGTCAGGAATCTGTATTTTTTGCATAAACTTCAGGTAATGCTGATGCAAGTGGTACTGCAAACCAACTGTGAAAGCCACTGATCTAAGGCCATACTACCCTGAACGCACTCAATCTCATCTAAACTGATCTAAGTGGAGGAACATATTTTTGTTCCCTTAAACAACAAATGCATCTCCAAATTTGGGACAATTGAAGAATTCAAAAGAATAATGACAGTAATAGAGTATAATATACTAAATTTTAAAAAAATCAATGTGAGGGCTTTTTTTTTTGCGATACCAAAAAAGAGGAAGAATATATCCTTCTTAAATGCCAACTGATAAATTTAGAAAAAAATGCCAGATAGAATGAGAAAGTCATCACCCTGTCACCGATGAAATAACCAATTCAGACAAGGATCACCAATGAATGTTAAAACCCTTGGTTAGAGAGAAACAGAATATTCATACATCTCAAGGCTTTACTTCCAGATTTTAATGAGGGAAATGTGCACTTGCAACGGAGTCATCTGACAGTCATAATCACAGTGGGGCCAGAGGACACCATGGGCCTCCCAATATGATAGAAAAAGTACCAAATATCACCTGTGTGGTATGCTTGCCAAATATACTTACCTGAATCTAATCATGAGGAAGCAATCATCCAAGTCCACAGTGTGGGATATTCTACAAGACAATTGGCCTGAATTCTTCCCCAAAAGCCAGTGTCATGGAAAACCAAAGAATGTGGGTGTTCATAGCGCTGGTCTATGTGGATAAAGACTAGGGACATAGCCACATGCGATATATAAACCTCGATTAGCTCCTGAATCCAAAAAAGAAATAACAGTTTGAAAGATATATTTGAGACAGTTGAGTTATTTAAAATATGGACTATATATTTGGGGACATTGAAGTTGATATTCTGGATATCATAGTCTCAAGAGGGATATGCTGAGGGAGTTAAGGCTGAAGTATTATGAAATCTGCAATTGACTTTCAAGTGGTTCTGAAAAAGAATGCATGTGTGTGTAGATGAATACATACATTCATCTACACACACATATTTATATAACGCAGTTAGGGCCAAAAGTTAACAATTAGTTAAAGCACATGTGGATGGCATATTTAGTTAAAGCACATATGGATGTTAATTATACCAGTCTTTCAACTGTTTCTGTGGGCTTGAAATTTTTCAAAATAAAAAAATGTAGCAAAGTATGAAAAATAATAACAGAAATAATCATTTCAAAAAATAAAAATAGATACATTTTAAAAGGTAATTTGTTTTCTCCCTCTGTCTCTTCTTTTCCTGTTCAGGTACACCGTCAACTTCTTATTAATCACCACCCAACTGGGATTCTGCAGCGTGGAAAGAGAGGCTTCCAATCATGTCCAATCAGAAATAATTGCGAAATTTTAGCCTGAAAAGTGTTGGTGAGATTCACTTTATGTATCTCAGGGTTGTCACATAGAAGATGACTAACTACATATGAGACAAACAAGCTGCACTCTTGCCCTCATTGCCCTCATTGCATTCCCAAGAGGCATTATGAATCAATCATAGCATTCTTTCTTGGCTTCATGGAAAAGAGGGAGCATAATTGGTTTTGTGCATCCAAACGCCCAGAACTATGGCAAGTGTTGTAGATGAAATATTCAAGCAGATAGATTTTGCTCAGTGTTCAGAGCTTTCTAACTTTTAGGGCTATGTAAAGTTCGAGAAGATATTCTTGTGTAATCAACTTCCATTCTCTGAGTATATGAAAGGAAACCATTTGACAGGGAAGAAGAGGCTGGGTTAGATGACAAAAGGAGATTTTAAGATTCTAAGGGTTTCTTATTGTCACAGTCATGGGCACCACAGTTGGGGTTACCAGATTTGGCCAAAAAAAATACAACACCCAGTTAAATTGGAATTTCAGATACACAGCAAATATATATATATTTTTTTACTGTGAGTATGTCCTGTGGAATATTTGGGACATACTTTTCTAAAAAGTCACTTGATAATTATCGGAAGAAGAAACTTAACTGGGTCTTTTGTATTTAATCTGACAACTCTAACTACACTGCCCCTCATTATGTCTACACCAGATGGTGGAAGATGCCCACATGACCTCCAACAACTGCCAACCCAGGAAGATCCTGGTGCTGACCCCCATCCTGGACATCCGCTTTTACATGCTGACAATCCTGCCCTTCCTGGTCCTGTTGGTGTTTATCCAGAACCTCAGGATGCTGTCCATCTTCTCGACACTGGCCAATATCACCACCCTGGGGAGCATGGCTCTGATCTTTGAATATATCATACAGGTCTGTGCCTGAAACTGACAGCAGAAGGGGTTCTGAGACACCTGGGGAAGGTTAGTATCATTATGGGCAGGTGAAGGTGAGGAAGGTCCCCTGCTAAAGTGACATCCGTGAATGCTTCAGCCCCACAAGCTATAAGAGCTAGTCGACATCATCATCATTGTCACGCTGGATAACAGTGAGTCATTTGACAATTAGTTATTGAATACCTTCTGTGATCCAGGCATGGTGCAAGGCACTGAGATTCGGTGGTAGGTGAAACTGCTGGCATATCTGTGCTCATGGAGGTCACATTCATTCAGAGGAGATAAACCTCAACTAATAACCAACAAAAGGTTGACAAGGGATACATGTATGATAAAGAATTTTTTATTGACTTGGTGTCAAGTTCTTAACATATATTAACTCACTGAATCTTTCCAGTGATACTGTTTTATATGTTTTATATTTTGTAACTACTCAGCTTATAGACAAGGAAACTGATAAACAGAAAGTAATTTTTTCACTAATTCCCATCAGTTTGCCTCCCAAGCCCATGCTTTGTTATTATCACAGGCCCTGAAATTCTACCATTATAGCTTAATTTCTTTGAATCTGAAAGTCTTTGGGGCTATATTAGTTTCCTATTGCTAGGTAACAAATTATCAAAAATCTAGCCATTTAAAACAACACAAATTTATCTCACAGTTCTGGAGGTCTTACTGGGATAAAATCAAGGTATCAGCAGGGGCTGGGTTTCTTTCTGGAAGCTTATGTGAAGAATCTGTTTTCTTGCCTGCTCCAGCTTCTAGAGGCTGCCCACATGTCTTGGCTTATGGCCGCCTTCCATCTCCAAAGTCAGCAATGCAAGGCTGAGTCTTCCCCACACCACCATCTCTCTAGTTTTCTCTTCTGATCCCCTCTTCCACTTTTAAAGACCCTTGTTCCTACCTTGGACCCACCCAGATGACCCATGATAATCTCCCTCTTTTAAGGTCAGCTGATTAGCAACCTGAATTCAGTCTGAAAACTTAATTCCCGCTTGCCGTGTAACGTAACATATTCACAGGTTCCAGGGACTAGGACATGAACATCTTTGGGAAAGAGCCATTATTCTGCCCACCACAGGAGTCTCTTAAAATAACCATTCTCTCTGCATGCACGTTGCTGCTGTAGCAGAAGTGATGAAAAAGAGGCGTTGGAGAATGGGAAGACGGGAGACCTCAATTCTCATCCGGGCGGGGCCACCATCTTGCAGAGTAGCCTTAAGCAACTCCCTTCTCCCCCCTGGGTCCCACTTTGCCCACAGGTAAAGATGTGGTAAATCAAAATGTGCTAAATACATGCAATGCATTCCTTAAGAAAGAATGAACTTCTGATCTATGCGGCAACACGGATGAACCTTTCAAGACATTATGCTCAGCGAAATAAGCCAGTCACAAAAGGACAGGGATTATATGATTCCACTTATATGAGGTACCTAGCATTGACAGATTCATAGAAACGGTGTAAAATAGGAGTGACCAGAGTTATTACTCATGAATACAGAGTTATTATTTCATGAATACAAAGTTTCAATTTGGGAGGATGAAAAAGTTCTGGAGATGGGTGGTGGTGAGGGTTGTACATGAGTGAGAATGTACTCAAAGCCACCGAATTGTACACTTAAAAATGTTTAAAATGGTAAATTTTATGCTACGTGTAATTTACCACAATAAAAAGAAAACTTTTTTATTTTATTTTATTTTTTTTAAAGATTTTATTTATTTATTTGAGAGAGAGAGAGAAAGCACAAATAGGGGAGGGGCAGAGGATGAGGGAGAGAGAGAGAGTCTCAAACAGACTCCCCACTGAGCATGGAGCCCAACGTGGGGTTCGATTGCAGGACCCTGAGATCATGACCTGAGTTGAAATCAAGAGTTGGATGCTTGGGCGCCTGGGTGGCTCAGCTGGTTGGGCATCTGCCTTCAAGGTCCTGGGATCCAGCCCCACATCAGGCTCCCTGTTGGGTGGGGAGCCTACTTCTCCCTTTCCCTCTGCTGCTCCCCGTGCTCATGCTCTCTCTCTCTGTCAAATAAATATGTAAAATCTTAAAAAAAAAAAAAAGAGTTGGATGCTTAACCTACTGAGCCACCCAGGTGCCCCAATAACTTTTTTAAAGATAAGAAGGCTGATTCAGCTCTGCCTATCTCACAGGTGCTCATGACACCCATGATGGCAGGTGTGGTCCAGCTTTCTACTAAGAAAAGTTTGAGGATGACTCCTATACCATGGCAAAACCAACGCCCTTCTTCTACTTCCTTTCAGGAGATTCCAGATCCCAGCAGCCTCCCTTTGATGGCAAGCTGGAAGACCTTCTTGCTGTTCTTTGGTACAGCCATCTTCACATTTGAAGGCGTTGGTACGGTAAGATGGATGAGGGATTTGTGTGAACGGTCCCTGGTGCCCTCCGGGGAAGCTAGTTGTTCCAGATGTCTTAAAGTATTTATGAAAAGTGTAGGATATGATCTTCTCCTAGTGGAAAGGAAAGTCAGGACCCGTCCTGGGCACCAACTGCTCCATGCACCACACTAAGCCTTGAAGACTGAGTGCGAATGTATTCGTTAGTCCAGCCGGAGTAGGGCACTCCTGGCCAAAGAGCATGGAAGAAAATAAAAAGGAGTGTGGCCCTTCCTGACCCTGGGCCACCCGGAGAAGGCTGTCTGTGCCTGAGGGGGAAGCCTGCTTCTTCATGAGGAGCCACATTTCTGACTACCTCTTCTTTCTCAACCTCCTTCACCTTTAGGTTCTACCCCTCAAAAATCAGATGAAGCATCCGCAACAGTTTTCTTTTGTTCTGTACTTGGGGATGTCCCTTGTCATCATCCTCTACATCTGCCTGGGGACACTGGGCTACATGAAGTTTGGGTCCAACACCCAGGCCAGCATCACCCTCAACTTGCCCAATTGCTGGTACGTCCCTGCCTGCCTTGGGTGACAAGGGGAGTAGAGTCACGGGATCTGAGCCTGAGCAACAGAATGTGGCATTCCCTTGGGTTGTCACTAGCACCATATATTAACTGCCAATATTGGTATGATGATAACAGGTAGGTTTGATAATCCAGGCATTGTGCATTATCTGGTTAAGCTCTCACAGTAGCCCTATGAGTCAGCATGATTATTATCAAGTCCTTTCACTAGACGAGGAAGTTGCTATTTGGAGAAGCTCTGTGGAGCTTTCCCAGCTCACCTTGTTTGTGAGAAGCTGGAACTTGACACTGAACCTGTCTGACTCTACGGTTCAGAGACCCTAAAACAGAATGATCTGGGAGTGTTTGGGAAACACAAACAGCAACAACAAAAAGTATGATATGCCAGAATAATGATCGCGAGTCCTGCAGGTGGACCACTCCTCAGGCCCCAGTTCCAGCAAAGGACCTAGACTGCCACTGTTATGCCCCAGTTGGAATTTAATTTGAAGTGCTTACATTTGATCATTCATTCATTTGCTTGTCCCCTCCTTCATCCCGGTAACGTTTCCAGGGCCGGCCCGCAGCGCTCATTGAGTATTAGCTATTGTCATCATGCCGGTAGTACACGGAGTGCATTGCGACTAAGCGGTCAGTAGGGCCAAGTGTTGAAGAGCCCAGGTTCTAAAGCTAGGTAAAGGCATTTGCATCCTGGTTCTTGCGTGATCTTGCACGAGCAACCTAATCTTGCAGACCTCATTTCCATCATCAGTAGAATGGGGATAATACTAATGCCTGTGTATATAGGTTTGGTTATGCTCCAGTAATAAACAACTCCAAAATCTTAATGGCTGAACACACACAAACGCTTAATTCTATGCTCATGCTACATGCCCATTACAGGGTGGCTGGGGCTCGGCTCCGCACCATCCCCACTCAAGGACACAGAATGATGACAGCCGCTCCCTCAAATGTTGCCATGGCAGAGAGTGCAGTGAATCATGCCCTTCACCATGAAGCTGCTAAAGGTTTGCTGGGAATTGACATACATCTCCTCTGCTTGCAATCCATTGGTCAAAGCAAGTCCCATGGCCACATCCCACTCCAAAGGGCAAGGAAGTGAAAATCTACCGTTGCCTGAAAGAACAGGAAGTATTGATGACCATCGTAAATAAATGGCTGTCTCATTGTCTCGGGCGGGGGTGGTTGTGAGGATTAACTGCTTTAATAAATATTTTTTAAGATTTTATTTATTTATTTGAGAGATAGAGAATGAGAGATAGAGAGCATGAGAGGGAAGAGGGTCAGAGGGAGAAGCAGACTCCCTGCTGAGCAGGGAGCCCGATGTGGGACTCGATCCCGGGACTCCAGGATCATGACCTGAGCCGAAGGCAGTTGCTTAACCAACTGAGCCACCCAGGCACCCTAACTGCTTTAATATATATATAATGCTTTGAAAAGTGTCTGGCACAAGGACGCCTGGGTGGCTCAGTTGGTTAAGCGTCCCACTCTCATCTCAACTCAGGTCTTGATCTCAGGGTCATGCGTTCAAGACCCACGTTGGGCTCCATGCTGGGTGTGGAGTCCACTTAAAAAAAGAAAAGAAAAGTGCCTGGCACATAGTAAGTACTCATCAAGGATTAGCTATTGTCATTGTTAAGTCTCCCCACAGCCTTATTCTTTCAGAGGTGAATAGAGTGGTAGGGTAGTCATTTCCCACAAGGCTACAGCTATAAAATGAGAAAAAATACCACCAGCCCCACCCACCTCATTGTGTTGTGGTAATGACTAGGTGCGGTAATAATGTGGAATTTCTTTGAAGTCATAACTTCCTTTATGCAAGTAAGATATCATTCTAATATGCTCTTCCTATTCCGGGCCATTCGGGCTGCCATTGGCTACCTTGGGCAGGGCACTTTCCTTGTGGGGGCCTCAGCTGGAAAACGTGGGCATCAGGTACCATGAGAACTGCACATCTGCTCTGAACTTGGCTGGCCACCAGATTCCCCAGAGGAGCCTTAGACAAATACCCCTTCCCAATAAGAAAAAAACCAACAACCCAAGGAAAAAATGAGCATGAGCACACAGTTCACAGGCAGACTTTTTAAATGGCATTTTATATATTTGAAAAAATACTGTTGCCCTCATAATAACAGAAATGCCAGAAAAAAACAGAATGGCAAAGACCAACACATGTTCACACATTGTGTTTTGACAAGGATGTGGGGAAGCAAGCATCCCAATGTGCTAGGACAACAAAGGGGAAATATGTCAGTAGCTAACCAAAGTTTAAATCACCTATACTTTTAGCCAGCATTTTTACCTCTCAGGTTGTATGCTAAATGTGCGTAGATATCTGTTTAATAGGATATATTTTGCAGCATCATTTACTAGCAAAAGACTGGGAATAATCTAAATATCCATTAATTGGGGACTGGTCAAAAAAAATTATAGTGTATCTATGTAATTATCTATGTAATTATAGTGTATCTATGGTAACTATCTATACCAAGCATCTATTAAATAGAGGAGCCAAATCTCTGTGTACTGATAAGAAACAATCTCCAAGAAATATTTAATGAACAAAAATGGAACTCAGCAGTGCATAAAGGATGCTACGGTGTGTGTGTAGGTGTACCTTACATTGCTATAAGCTTTTATATACACTGGTTATTTCTGAAAGGGCTACAGGAAAATTCTTAAGAGGAGCTGCCTATGGAAAGAAGAATGGGAATCAAGGGTCGGAGGAAAGCTTTTCACTGTATGACTTTTGAGCTAGAACTTTTACTCTATACAGATAGACCTTTTTAGAAAGTAAAAGAATAAAAGGCACAGATGCCTGAGCCACAGGCCTATTGAATCAGAATCTCCAGGAATGTGCACTTTTAACGAGCTTCCCAGGTGGCCCAGATGGCAGGTCAGGCCTGAGCCGGTTCTGTAACTCAGGGGTAGGGACCAACTTCTGAGCAATGAGTGAATCCTGATTGGCCCTGCCCAGGAGCCACGTCAAATTTCACGTCCTATCCGTCTGTCTGCAGGCTGTACCAGTCGGTCAAGCTGATGTACTCCATCGGCATCTTCTTCACCTATGCCCTCCAGTTCCACGTCCCAGCCGAGATCATCATCCCCTTCATCATCTCCCAGGGGTCAGAGAGCTGGACACTGTTTATAGACCTGTCTGTCCGCACAGCCTTGGTCTGTCTGACCTGTGAGTAGGATAAAAGGGCACTCGTTGCCCAAAGCTGTGGCTGCTAGTCGCATTGACATCTACCCCGCTATCATTGGCTCAGCCACTTACCGTCTCTGTGACCTTGGGCAAGATACTTCACCTCCCTGAACCTCAACTTTCCACCTGAAAAATGGGCTTACACATGGAAAGTCTCCATTGGCTGGTTTATGGGAGAAAGAAGTACCATTCATTCAATCATATTCCCATGTGCCTGCTGGACGCCAGGTGCCATACTGGCATTGCCTTATACTCATGACAGCCTAGCAACGTAATATTACCAAGTGGAGGAACGACGGTCCAGAGTGTTTAGGTAACACACTCAAATCATATAGCTGCTAAGTGACAGAGCTGGGAATTGAGCACAGGTTGTAGAGCACCTAAGCCTGTTTTCCATCGCGTGCCATATTCCTTCCTATTATAAATTAAGATTGAGCCCCTTATCATAAAGTGGCCTCGAACTGTAGGAGAAAACAAGGGGCTGATTTGTTAAAGTCTTGGCGATCATTTTTTGGATGCAATCTTCGCTCCTCCCCTCTTCTCATCTTCCTTCCTTAAGGCTTCCTTCATTCACTGATTCACTCATTCATCCTACATTAGGCACTGTTGTAGATGTTTGGGAAACATCATGAACAGGGCTGGGGACTTTTTTCTCTGAAGCATGTTCAGAGAAAGAACATCAGAAAAGGTGCCTCCTGAGGAAAGAGGGAAAGAACTAGGGACGTTTTGCCTGGAGACGCAAAGGCTCGGGGAACTTCTCTATCTGTCCTCAAAACACCTGTGGTATATTGTGCAAGAGAGAGAGAAAATTTAGTCTTAAAGTTTCCAGGAGTTTAAAGTTGAGGAAATGCAGTTTCAGTTCAAGGTCTGGAGAAAGTGTGTAGTTGTTGGAGCCTTTCAGCAGAAGAATATGCTATCAGATGTTATGCTTCACATAAATGGATTTCTAGAAACAGAAACAACACACCTGCTGGTTTAAGGTATTACAGAGTTTCCGGTCTATACCAAGACATTAGGGACCTGTCGCTCTATTGTTCTGAGATCATTCCTAATAGGAAGGGTCTAAGTTGAAGAGAAAAACTGAGTAGTTCAGGCCACTTCAGGTCAGGGAAGGCAATGCTAGACAGAGCCGACCATCTAATGAGAGGCTCTGTTTCTGTTATATGCCGGATGACCACTTCCTCCTCCTTTATTCAGCTGTCAATTCCATTATCCTTCATTCATTCAACAGTCATTTGTTGAGCACCTACTGTATGCCTGGCATTGTGCTAGGCACTGGGGTTACAATAATGAATAATAAAGAAGACATGTTGAGTAAGAAATATATGCAAGGAAATAACTACAACACATTGTGATGAATGTTAAGATAGTACCTAATGATGTACCATATGATGGTTCAGATAAGAACAGGATGCTCTGAGAGCACATTAGAAGGTCCTATACTTTAGCCAAGGCCAGATCAGGGAGTCCTCTTCAATGGAATGATATTTTAGTTAAGACCTAAGAGACAGGGGTGCCTGAGTGGCTCAGTTGGTTGAGCATCTGCCTTCAGTTCAGGTCATGATCCCAGTGGGATGGAGCTCTGAGTCAGGCTCCCTGCTCAGCAATGAGTCTGTTTTTCCTCTCTCCCTCTGCCCCTCCACCCTCTTGTGCTCTCTCTCTCTTTCTTTCTTTCTCTCCCAAATAAATAAATAAATTTTTTTAAAATGACCTAAGAACTAAGTAGAAGGTAGATGGAGGAATGAAAAATGTACCACGTGTAGGAAGCAGGCTGTGCACAGATCAGAGGCAAGTACTTACGTATGGCCTCTTTGGAGAACTAAAAGCAGTGGGGAGAGATAAGACATGAGGCCAGAGGACCTGGCGGGGCCCAAGTTGTCAGAGACATCTGGCTAAGGAGATCTGGAAATGGGGAGCCATGGAACGTCTGTGAGCAATGGGGTGGCATCACCAGATAGGATCTTTCTAGAGAACTCCTCCAGTCTAACTTGCATTATAGTTTTCCTTTAAAATATTTTCTCTGCCCTGTCAGTGTGAGGTCTCCTGGAGAACAGACAGATTCTTCTCTGTGCCTTGTCCAGTAAACAATTTATTAAATATCTGAGAAGGGAAAGCTGTGGACGGGACCATCCTATCAGAGGGGTGACAAATTCTCAACTGCGAGAGTTGATGAGTCTCTCTCATTCTCTGAATTAGATGTGCTGCAGCAATTTCAGAAAGAGGTGAAGTTTTCTTCAAATCCAGCAAGCTAGTATGAGTGCTTTCCAGGACAGTTTTTCCCTAATTTGTTCATAGGAAAATCATACCGTTGTGCAAAGTGAAATCACATAAGTGGTATAGTTATTCATTCATACATTATTGAAATTGGACTCCCCTGGACAATTCATAATGTATGTTCATCATCTGTATAAAAGATGGAGATTTAAGAAAATGGTGTTTTAGAAGAGATGGGGAGGGAGCAGCCTATTGCTGTCTTCATGTTTATGTTCTTTTTAATTACCAGGATCATTCTAGGAATAGGAAAACACGTAGTTGAGATTCTGACAAAAAAAAAAAATCTCTCATTTTTTATTCATTCTTGCTTCTAGACGGTTGCTGTATTTTGTAGAGTAGTACAAATTCACAGTAGATTCAGTGTCTGAGTAAGAGCACCTATGATGTACAAGTTCTTTCATATATAAGGGAGGCAGCATAGTAGAGTGGAAAGAGCCTTAGACAGGCATTTCAATGGATTCTCCCCTCAGAGAATGTGTGACCTTGGCCACATCCCATTCCCTCTAGAGCTCTAGATTCTCCCATCTCTTTAATGAGAAGGTGATAATAGATAGGTGGTAGAGGAACCTTTCTAAAAACCATTATATGAGAAAAACCCAATAAATAAAACATAAAAGGAGAGCATCTGTATTGGCCTTTAAAACAGGGGGGAATCCAGAACCACAGTACCTGACCTACTGCCCACATCTGCACTGGGACTCCTTCCCACATTTCCGAAATAGTCTGGCATCTGTGGGATTATAAGGCTCCAAGGAAATGATTGGTTTCTGAACTTCCTTGCTGCAGAGACAATCAGTGATTCTAAATTTCTTCTCTCTCTGCAGGTGTCTCGGCCATCCTCATTCCCCGCCTGGACCTGGTCATCTCCCTGGTGGGCTCCGTGAGCAGCAGTGCCCTGGCCCTCATCATCCCGCCCCTCCTGGAGCTCATCACCTTTTATGTTGAAGACATGAGCTGTGTGACCATTGCCAAGGACATCATGATCAGTATCCTGGGCCTGTTGGGGTGTGTATTTGGAACATACCAAGCCCTCTATGAGTTGATCCAACCCATCAACCATTCCATAGCCAACTCCACAGGTGTCTATGCATAATTATCTATTTTTATTCTAATAGCTCTCCCTTCCTCCCATCCCCAACTTGACTTCCATTGTGGATGTTATATACATTCATCAAACCCCAACATCTCTATGTTAATTAGCGGCTTCTTTATCTTTCCACGAGAAATGTACATGACACAAGTCAGTACTCACACCTCTCAGACTATGCCTTTTTTGGTTTTGGATTTCTTCAGAGGTCTTTTGTACCTATGAACCAAAACCACATTCAACTATTTGTACCATCAGCCTCATTTATTGGGGAAAGGGATGCCATTTGCCCATGATATCCCTGGAAACAGACCAAGCATGTAAATGCAAAAGCAATTTTTTTCTCTATTCTACAGTTGCTTCTCTTAAAGCAGGGGATTTAGAGAAGTATATGTTGGGGAAGTGAGGTTTTCTATTTGAATATGCTTCTAAGTGGAAGAGTCACAGACAGAACAAAAACAGAACTTAGCAGTAATTTTATCCAACCATTTGGCTCTGCCACTAATTTCCTATGGGATCTTGGGCAAGTTTTTCCCTCTCTCTGTCTCAGTTTTCCCATCTATGAAATGAGGGACTGGACGAATTGGTTGTTAAGGATTTATCTAGATCTAACATTCTGAGTGAATTACACTGATTTCAAATATTAAACCAAGAAATTAATTTATCCTTTAACCACATGTGTGAAAATCAAAGTGTTTGCCATCTAGCAAACCACAGTATTGCCCTGGAGATATGGGCCTACCAGAAGTAGGGTAAGGGATACAAACATATGTCTTAGCAAACTGTCATTATGGTGACTTCCCTACCTAGAAGGACATTACCTCTTTCTTTCTCTCTCTTTTTTCTCTCACATCTCAAGGCCACTTAGAGCTATTTAGGCTAAAGAGGCTGTGTGATTTGTGTGAGAAAGGATTTCATCATGTGCAAGGACTACTGACCTACTTAAAAAAATTATACCGAGTTTTGGGAAGGGTTTTGAAAAACAGATAATCTTGTACTCTGCAGTTGGGAGTATACATTGTTATGGCTTTTCTGAGGGATAATTAGTGGCCCTCTGACCCACTAATTCTGGGAATTTATCCTAAGAATATTTTGTGTTTGCAAAAGTTTATGTAAAAGGAGACCTTGTATTTTTTATAATACTAAAAAGTTGGAAACAAACATCCAACATTAGGTTAAATTATGACTCATCCAAAATAAAATGGTGTGATGCCCCCCCACACTGCAAAAATGCATCTATTGATAGGCAAATATATTTGTGATTGATCAGTGGGAAAAGGCTGGTTTATTAAAAACATGCAAACCAAAACTAGACAAAGACAGTATGAGAAAATAAAGCTACAGATCAAAATCTTTCATGGATATACATGTAAAAATTGTAAACAAAATTTTAGCAATTCAATAACATATTAAAAGGGTAATACATCATGACAGAATGGGATTTATCCTAGGAATACAGGGTTGGTTTAATGTTTGAAATCAGTGTAATTCGCCATTATTAACAAACTAAAAAAAGAAATAATCATCTCAATAGACACAGAAAAGCATTTGGCAAAATCCAACATCTACTCCTAATATAAAACTCCCAGCAACTAGGAATAGAAGGGAACTTTCACAACCAGTAAAAAGCATCTATGAATACATGTAGCTAATGTCATACTTGATGGAAAAAATTGAATGCTTTTCCTGTAAGAAAGATCAGAAGCAATCAGAGACACTTATTCTAGCCACTTCTATTCGATATTGTGTCAGATATCTACACAATGAAATTAGGCAAGAAAAAGAAATAAATGGCATCCAGATCAGAAAGGAAGAAAGAACTGTCTTTATGAAGATGGCATGATACCAATGTAGAAAACCCAATGGAATCTACAAAAAAGCTACTACTAATTGGTTTACAATGCTTCAGGACACAAGGTCAATATACAAAATCCATTGTATTTCTCTGTACTAGCTGAGAACAATCAGAAATTGCACTTATAATTGCATCAAAAATATGCAATAATGGGGGATAAATCTGATGAAAGATATGAAACACCTGTTAAAGGCTATCATATATAATCTTTATAAAGACAATAATATACTGCTAAAAGAAATTGATGCCTAAAAAATGGAGAGATACACCTTGTTCATGACTCAGAAGATTTTTTGTGGTTAAGATATCAATTCTCACCAAATTCAGCAGGCTTTTTTTTTTTTTTATAAGCTGACTAGCTGATTCTATGAAAATGTAAAGGACCTAGAATGGCCAAGATATCTTTGAAAAAGAAGAACAAAAATCGAGGGCTAACACCGATTTCAAGAATTATAACAGAGCTGTAATAACCAAAACTGCATGGTGTTGGTGCCAAGATAGACAAGTAGATGAATAGACCAGAATAGAGCCTGGAATAAAGTCTACCCATATGTGGTCAACTGATTTTTGACAAAGATGCAGAGGCAAAGTAGTGGGGAAAGGATTGCCTTTTCAAGAAATGAAGCTACAAAAATTGGATATCCATATGCAAAAAAAAAAAAGATCCATACTTTACATTATATTTATTAATCAACTCAAAATAGACCTATGGGTCTTAGGCCTAAATATAAAACCTAAAACTATAAAATTTTTAGAAGAAATCATAGGAGAAAAATTTTGTGACCTTGGGTTAGGCAAAGATTTCTTAGATACAACACCCAAAGCACAATCCATTAAAGAACAAATCACTGAGGTAGACTTCATCAAAATTAAAACTTTTGCTCTTCAAAAGACACTGTTGAAAGGATGGAAGGAAAAGCCACAGTCTGAGAGAAAAATCTTTGCAAAGTTATGTCTATTTAAACACTCATACCCAGAATACATGAAGAACTCTCAAAGCCCAGTGATAAGGAAACAACTTATTTTTTTAATAGGCAAAGGTTTGAATAGACCCATTACCAAAGAAGATATATGGTTGGTAAAAAAGCATATGAGAATATGTTCAACATCATTAGTAATTAGGGAAATCCAAATAAAAGCCATAATGAGATACTACTTTATATCTAAAATTTAAAAGATTGACCATATTAGTGTTGGCAAAGATGTGGAGGAACTGGAACTCCCATAAAAGAAAAGGAAGCATATACCTATAAAAAGACTTGTACATAAATGTTCATGGTAGCTTTATCATAGTAGATAATATGCAACCTGTTCTGTAGAGACAGAAGGCAAATCTGGTTTCTGAAAGGAGGAGTGGGTGGAGTGAGTGGGAGATATTACAAAGGGGCATGAGGAAAATTTTGGATGTTATGGATAATGTCTTTATAATTTTTATTGTGAGGATGGTTTCCCATGGATGTGTATATATTTCAAAACTTACCAATTATACACTTTAGATATGTGCAGTTTAATATTAACTATACCTCAATACAGCTGTTAAAAATAAAATGTAAAGCATGATTCCATTCTGGTTCTTTTTTAAAAAGAGGTCATTTGCATATAGTCAAGCAATTTTGAAGGGTATGCAGAACATAAAACGTTATAGGAATTTTCACCAAGTTGGTTGAGTTAGGAGTGAAATTTTATGCTTTTTTTTTTTGCTTGCCTGTGTTACTGTATTTTTAATAGTAATGTATTGACTTTACAGCTAAAGAAACTTCATGTGAGGGGAAATTTTAATGATGATTTGTTTCACTATAATGGAAACACAATGTTAAAAAAACTTTTTATTTTTGGGGCGCCTGGGTGGCTCAGTCATTAAGCGTCTGCCTTCGGCTCGGGTCATGGTCCCAGAGTCCTGGGATTGAGGCCCGCATCAGGCTCCCTGCTCAATGGGGAGCCTGCTTCTCCCTCTCCCGCTCCCCCTGCTTGTGTTCCCTCTCTCGCTGTGTCTCTCTCTGTCAAATAAATAAAATCTTAAAAAAAACACTTTTTATTTTTAACCCATATGGGAAAGTACATAAAGCATAAATGTACAGTATAGTGAATACTTGTAAGTAATGTCACTTTTCAACCTCCCCTTCTATAACATAATTGATGCTATGGAACACCAGGAATCCCAGCTGGAGTCAGGAGAGCTCTCATCCTCTGTGTGTCATCATCCATTTACCAATAGTCAGATGTCAAGCAACAAGCTCTTGGAGGAGATGTGAAGTAGCTATGAAAGAGAGGGAGGTAGAGAGGAGCATCCTATCACTAGATAAGAAAACTATAAGCCAATAATAAAATCTTTGGCCTTTTGAGACCCAGACCACAAGCGTGGAGAAAGTGAGGCTTTGGGGAATATATGGAAGCCTTCCTATAGAATATAGAGCAATAAAATGCAGGTAAGACAGTGTGGTTTATGACTTTGGGGTAGGGGATGGTCATACACCTTGTTGAAATTCTAATGGAAGTGATATAATAGGATATAAGAGGATAATAGATCCTCTTTCATAAAATTCACACATATGCACACATGCTAAGTTTTACGTGCAATTTGAGGAACAAAAAGTCCATGAAGTTAATAGACCCTGGGTTGCAAAAGAACCTCTGGAAAAAGAAATGCAAGAATCTCTGCTTCTCATAACATTGAACAATCTACAGATAGTGGATAGCCAAGCTTGGCACAAAGGTTTGCATGCAAAATAAAGCAATGCAAAATCAAATTAGGGAGGTAAGCCACCAGACAATGAACGTCAGGCACCATGTGACTGGCGCGACACATGTTATCTGATTGCAACCTGCATTCTGAAGATCACTGATAGGACCCAAATTGGCCATTCCAGTTGCATCAGTGTAAGCTGAATTCTCTACTGCTATGTGCTTCCTTGGCAAAAACTGGGACCTGGTAGCTGGAATAGAGATATTTTAGAGGATACCAAGGATGGAGGGGGATTCCTGCCCTTGCCCCAGGACCTTCAGAAATATTTCCCATTGCAGTTCTCTGCTGGACAAATGTGATCTCTCTTAAAATGACAGAGCTGGACTACAATTGGGGCGAAGAGTGGAATGAGACACAAAGTCATTTTAGAGAGGCTTAATTTGGATCTTCAGCAAGTCCACTGAAAGAAGGAGCAATAAGAGAACTGGGATTGCTACAGAACTCAAGTTGAGATTGCTAAAGCAACACAAGCCCTGCCTGGGTGGGTGGGGGTGGCGGGCAGCAGAAGTCACCCATGTGAAATGGAGGCATTCAGAGTTGACGCCAAGTAGACATTAGTGACACAAGTGCAGCGGTTTATAAGCCACAGTGGCCCTGGCAACGAGACTGAAAGGCAAATTCCTAAGGACGCACAAGATTTGTTCT